ATCGGCTTTGAACATCCCTAATCCCATGAATAATACAACATATCAAACAGTCAATAAGAACTAATCACAGGATAATTAATCCTAACATAATTAATTTTCAGCATAATTAATTTCAACATAACTTGTCTTCAAACCAAATAATCCCTTAATTAATTTTGTGAGAGTGGGGAGGGGAATTGGAGAGTTGGTTCTCTATAATGTATAGGGCAGCTTGGAATAGATCCATCTTACTTTTGCGCTAGTCCAATTATTGGCTTTCTGGTCATGTCTTGGCTTGGTCTTTCGTAGTTTTGATTAATTTTGAAGAGATTGACATGAAAACATTATGAGCGGGATTATTTGTTTGTGGATGATCTCCATCGATACTTGCAATATGCGGCATTGATCACGCCCAACTCTAGTCCTTTCCATGCTCCTAGAAAATAAAAAACTGACACTACAACTCTAGTCCTAAAAAGGATAAGCGGTCGCTGCAATATAATCCGGTCTAAAAGTCCGGAGTCGAATCCCACAGAGAATTAAGGCTTACCTATATCTATTTAATATCACTAAGAAGACAAGTTTGAACGATTTCCTAAATTATAAAGATTGAGATTTATATTTCTAACTAATTAACTAGCAAATACTACAAAGCGGTAAAATTATCAACTAACGAGACAAAGGGTTGGAGACTAAATTAAGGAGATCTAGAGTTATGATTTCCCCAATTGTCGGAATCCTTCTAGCTATGTTCCCTACAATTTTGCCAATGTATTCTCTACTGATCGTGAGCACTTTAGGTGCCGTAATTCTCTCTCGAGCAACTACAATAATTTACTAGACATATTCTCTCGAACTACGCTAGTTGGCTTTATCTAACCGCTCATTATGACCACGTCAAGGCTTTGTTATTTCTAAACCTGCCTTTAAACCCGCTGTATTGATTTCTCACATACGTTAGGAGTGACGTTGTTCAATAACTACCTAAATATGTATCCTTTCTCAAGCAACACATAATAAATAGGCACAGTCAATCGATGGTTATTCAATCAACAACAATAAATACGTAGTTGAACAAGTAGAGAAATCCAACGACTCAATTATATAAAACACATAACAAGACTTTATCCTACAAAAGGTTCCATCAAAACCCTAGAAAACGAATTAGCTATTCATAATAGTATGTAAAACTACAATACTAAAAGTCATAACCAACAATAAAAGATAGGAAGAGGAAGGAAAAACTCGTAGAAGAATTTTCGGTCTTGCTCCTATTGTGTTCTTGCCTCCTTAGGTCGAATCTCCGGTCTCCTTAGCCTCCTTAGGTCTAAATTATGTCAAAAGTGTGTCCCACCTCTTAAAATACCATTTTTCCATGTATACATACCAAGTAGGGTCGGGCCCAAACTATTATACCTTCTCCTACGCGAAAAAGGACAATTTTTTCACGTCTGGACAGTCACGGCCGCGGTCAACCGCGGTACAAACGCGGTATTTGGCAAGTATACTGCCTCAGCCCGCCTCAGGTCCGCGGTCACGGTTTCGACCGTATTTTTCACCCTGTTCCGTTTAGAATTTGAAAAAATGTAAAACATGAAAGGTGTAGCCCTTTGAGTTAGCTTTCCAACCATATATTGTTGAGCTCAAATGAAATTCTGAGCAAAACGTTATGTGCATTTTATTAGACAGTGCGCAATATGCCTACTCGATTCTTCGTTTTGTTGCTCTATCATCCGTTGATCCCCGAATACGATCCCGACTTAATTCTTTCGGCTTTTACTCAGACTTCAAAGCTGGCTATCATCATGCATCAAAGTAGCTGGCTACATTATTTAACGGTGAATATATAATCTATTGCTTTGGATGTTAAGGTCGAGAAGGCCAATGATGATGATCAAGGAAGTAATAATATGAACTGACTATCGTAGATGAGCTAAAACTAGAAATGCAAATGCCTTTCTGATTGTGAGTGCCCTTTTTATTTATTTTGTAATTACCAGTATATTAATCATTTCTCTATTCAATAATTACTAGTTCCTTAGAGTTGTAAATTTAATAGTATCAAGTTAGTGCCGTAGGGACTAGCCGATAAAATGTATCAACCATTGCCAAGAAAAGGAAGAAACACAAATGATTAAACCAACTTGTCAGCTTGGTGAGATTGTCAATGGCCAATTTAAAAAGTTGTAAAACAAGATGCAAATTGTCTTTGAGATCAAATTTAAGGAATAAGTGAACGCGGATCAATTTTCTAGAGTTATTAATTAAAAAATATAGTGATAACAATGTATTAATATTTGGATCTTTATATGACTGAGTAGTCTAACATAGGGATGACAAGCCGTGCGGACGGGTTCTATTTTAACCAGCAAAATTTGAACCCGCCCCGCACAATACTCGCGTCGACCTGCCCCACTATTTTTTTTTTCAAGTGAGGAAAATGAAGGCTATGACTATGAGGAATCAGGATCTCCACTCCCAACATGAATTTATACTTCAAATTCCTCAGCTAAATTTTAGATTTTCTATCCTTAAATGTCAAAAGTCTTTTTAACATTTATATTTTGAAAAGGTACCATTTTCTATAGAAAATGAATATCCAATAGCAACATAAATGAAGTATGTAGTAAAGGGGAAAACGCCGTTCTTCCCGGATCATTAAGAGTACAATCAAAATTTTAAGAATTAAATTGTGATACACATCCCAATCTTCGATTTAAGAACTAGACACTCGAAATATGAACTTCCAAAAGTTGTGCAGAAGAGAGATACTAATAACAAATTGCAAAAAGCTATCCACTAAAAGGTCATTAAAACTTGGTCAGAAAAAAAAAAAAGCATTTTGTTCATATTAGTAATTTAATTTTGTTAGATGAGAGGCTTATCCGTCGGAGATGGCATACCTACCTCCATAGTCTCTTGAACGAGGAGGGAGGCATGAGCATTGTATGGAGTGATTTGGAACTCTCCGGGAGTCGTTGTCACTGTGGGTATAGTAGGCGGATTAGAGTTGATGAAATAGAGGGGACTATGCGTAGATGAGCAGGGGCAAAGCGACCAGGCGGATAAAATCCTGGTGGAGTTTTGGAAGAGTGCGAGCAAGGCAGGCTTCGAGTGAATCACTAGGTTATTTAATGTCATTTTTAGAACGAAGAAGATGCCTGAAGAGTGGAGGTGGAGCACGATGGTTCCTGTATACACGAACAAGGGTGATATCCAAAATTGCAATAACTATCGGAGTATCAAGCTGCTTAGCCATACTATGAAAGTCTGGTAGAGAGTGGTAGAGCTAAGGGTGAGGAGGAGTGTGTCTATTTCTGAGAACCAGTTTGGGTTTATGCCGAGGCTTTCGACTACAAAAGCCATCCACCTTGTTAGGAGATTGATGGAGCAGTATAGGGAGAGAAAGAAGGATTTGCATATGGTGTTCATTGACTTAGAAAAGGCGTATGATAAAGTTCCGAGGGAGGTTTTGTGGAGATGTTTAGAGGCTAGATGTGTACCTATTGCCTACGTTAGGTTGATTAAGGACATGTATGATGGAGTAAAGACCCGAGTGAGAACGATGGGTGGGAACTCGGACCATTTTTCGGTTATGATGGGGCTGCATCAAGGATCGCCACTCAGCCCTTTTTTGTTTGCTCTAGTGATGGATGTACTGACGCGCCACATCTAAGGGGAGGTGCTGTGGTGCATGCTATTTGCAGATGATATTGTATTGATTGATGAGACGCGAGACAGTGTGAACGTGCAATTAGAGGTATGGAGGCAGACCCTGGAATCTAAAGGTTACATGTTGAGCAGGACCAAGACAGAATACTTGGAGTGTAAGTTCAGCGGTGAGACTCAAGGAGGGGAAGGGGAGGTGAGGCTGGACTCGCAGGTCATCCCTAAGAGAGGAAGCTTTAAGTACCTTGTGTCTATTATTCGGGGGGATGGGAAAATTGATGAAGATGTCACACATCGTATTGGGGTGGGATGGATGAAATGTAGACTCGTTTCCGGTGTTTTGTGTGACAAGAAGGTACCAGCGAAACTTAAGGGTAAGTTCTACAGAGTGGTGGTCAGACCAACGATGTTGTATGTGGTTGAGTGTTGGCCAGTCAAGATCGCTCATGTCCAGAAGATGAAGGTAGCAGAGATGAGGATATTGAGATGGATGTGCAGGCACACCAGGTCAGATAGGATCAGAAACGAGGTTATTCGCGACAAGGTGGGTGTGTCCCCTATTGAGGATAAGATGCGGAAGCGCGACTTAGGTAGTTTGGTCATGTGAGGAGGAGGAGCATATACGCCCTTGTGAGGAGGTGTGAGAGGTTGACATTGGAGGGCCTATGGAGAGGTAGAGGTAGGCCAAAGAAGAGGTGTGGAGAGGTGATTAGGCAAGACATGGCGCAACTTCAACTGACCGAGGACATGACTATTGATAGGAAGGTAGGGAGGTCGAGGATTAGGGTAGTAGAGTAGGTAGTCTAGAGTGTCCATATCAGTAGTATTGGCATGTGGTCTCGCTTTCTGTTGGTAGTAGTTTTTTATGACTAACCATTGTTTTCTTCCATTGTTGATTACCTTATTATCTTGTTGTTTTTATTCTGCTTTTATATGGCTTTTTGGTACTGTCCCTTCTTGTCTATATTTTCATTAATGTGATGCTTATGCTTACGGTCTATTGGAAACAACATCTCTATCCTCACAAGGTAGGGGTAAGGTCTGCGTACACACTATCCTCCCCAGATCCCACGGTATGAGATTTACTAGGTATGTTGTTGTTGTTGTTGTAGTAATGTAATTTAAACCCATAAGAGCTTGAAAAGTTGTAATTTCGTAAAAAATTTAAACCCGCACCGCACCCACATATAATTAAATTTCTTTTATTTCAGCCCGCCCCGCCCCGTATCCACATATATCTAAACCCGCACCATTGCCATCCCTATAACATTCAGAAAGACAGAGTGAAACGAGGTAGTAACGAACAATTCATCAGCATATATTAATCCTAGTATGATGGTATCATTTTATTCACATTATTATTCCGAAACGACCCCGCTTATTTCTGTATATTACACCAACTTCCCTACATGTTTCCCTCAAATCTAATACGACGTCGCAAAATTTTCAATTCAGGTTTGCAGCAAGCTCGAACTTCAGCAAACAACGATCAAGCTCCTCTATGGCCTCTCTCTTCCAAAAATTTCAAGAGGTAACTGAGACTTCTTTCAAATGTATAAACTTGGAACAGAAACATGTACTAATTTTTATGGATACTAAACGGTTCATATATAAGAGTTTTATTCTTAATTTATGTTGGGTTTTTGGATTTTTCCTCCCTCCCAAAAAGAATGAAAGTTTTGTTTTATTTGGAGAGTCAAAAAGCATTTCTTTTGATTAAGATTTTTTCAAATACTTGTAACTATTAAAGATTGTGATTTATAATTTTTTCTTCTAGTTCCTATGATTCTATAATGTGGTATGTACTTTGTATTGAATATTAATACAATTCATCTCCTGATAAAGTTCTGGAACAAATTTTAGGCTGTTAAAGTTCTTGCAAAAAGCCCCACATTTGCTAAAGATCCAAGGCATCTTCAGTTTGAAGCTGATATAAACCGTCTCTTCCTTTACTCTAGGTAAGAATCATTTCACATACTTAAAAAAAGTAATGCTAATATATAGGATGCTTTTTTTTCCCCCTTTTTAAGGATTAAAGTTATATACACTGCCATTGCGACGAAGGGGAGCCTTGGTGCAGGAGGTCACGGGTTCGAGCAGTGGAAACATCCTCTTGCAGAAATGCAAGGTAAGGCTGCGTACAATAGACCCTTGTGGTCCGGCCTTTCCCTGAACCCCGCGCATAGTGGGAGCTTAGTGCACCGGGCTGCCATTTTTTTTACACTGCCATTGCGAAGATTTTCTTACACTATCCGTGTATTTTGACCTTTTAGAGAAGATTGCTTCCCGTCTTTTTGAACTTACCAGTTAGTGTTTGTAGAAAGAGTTACTTAAGTTGCCTTTTAAGTGACCTGATGGTGTAAATCTTTTTTACACTATGCACGTGCATAAAACTTATACTCTTCGTGTAAACTGACTGGTGAGACAAATACAACTTGCTGTATTATTTATAATTCGGTCAATAAACTAAGGTAGGCTAATTTAGGTTTTATCTGCGATCCTTGAAATTTACTGCAAAAACATAGCTTTAGCGTTGATGTTTGTACCAAGAATTGGCAGATCTAAGCTGTTCAATTGGCTGTATATTGCACTTTTACCTCGTAAAACTATTTTCTATGAGTAATTTGACCAACCAGGTTGCGCTGTTTCACGTCTATTGAAAACAGCCTCTTTACCTGCACAAGGTAGGGGTAAGGCTGCGTACTCACTACCCTCCTCGGACCCTACTTGTGGGATTACCCTGGATTTTTTATTCTTGTTGTTGCTGCGCTTTTCATGTAAATACAATTCTACAGGCTATTCAGTTTTTATTTGAAATTTAAATATGCACTTTATGAGATTGAAATGAATTTGTTTTAACCTGTGGAAAGGAAAGGTTTTGTTAGGATATTTTATATTTTTTTCTGGTCATCTCATCTTTTGTTTCAATGACGGAAGTTAAAATTTTTCTGTTGAGTAAGATTTTGTGTCCGTGGTATCAAACTTGTGCGCAGCTGGTTGGGTATTTTGATGAATGTTTTGCTGCTTTCAGTTCTTTTAAGAGCTAGGATATTACTTGAGTCATCAACCAGCAATCCTTGTTCTACATTTTCCTTTTTGTTTCTTCTTTAGATAACTGTAGATTTAACGCTATTTGCAATATTTACTGGTCCAAAGAAAGGAGGGAGGGGGGGGAGGTGGGGGGGAGATTGCATTATACTGTTGTCCTCTAAGGCTCTTGTCTATGTCAGATCAGATGAAATTGTAAGATGTAACTAACTTCTTTTTTGACTGGAATCACTTATGAAACATATGATAGTAAAAATTGCATACATCTTTTCTGCAAGTTTCATCCTTGCCATGATAAACTTCATTTTTCAGTTACAATCGTTTGGGAAAGGATGCCGTTGAAGCTGATGCTGAGGAGATTATTGACATGGCTGGCAAGGCCTCCTTAGCTGATCAACAGAAGCAGGTCCAAGACAATGTGCATAACCAGATTACAAACTTTTGCAAGCATATGGATCACATATTACTCCCTGATCTTAATGTCAAGGACAAGCAGGACACATCATCTTCCGAAAATAGTCCTTCTCCCCATCGCAGTGGGCTCGGCCTTGCTATTGGTAGGACTGCTCCATTAAAGGACCACATCGGTAAGAATCTTGAGCTGAAGTTTCTGCAGCACCTTTTATATTTGTGGCTTTTCTAAAATTTGTTTAGAATTTTCATTAGTTCCCAACTTTAGCAACGTGTTGGCAACCCTTTATGTCCTGCTTTTGTTATGTTATGTTAGATTGTGAATATGAATATTAACTCCTAGCCATATTGTTGGTGTTGCATTGTTGGTTGTTAACTATTTAGCTTACCAAAAATAGAATTGAAACAAATATTATGCTAATGGTGTTTCTTAGGACTTTTGGAATTTTTTAACTAAAAAGTTTTGTCTTAACATTTTGGTAAATGGTAGGGATATAAGAGTCCATGTCCTGGAAAATTGGACCCATAGGTAATTAATTGTAGGACGGTTCTCACGGATTGCGTTCAATATAAGCCCTTGGAAAGTGGGGTATAACATAAAATTATAGTTACAGAAACTTTTTGGTGGTCTCACATAGATTATATTCAAGCTTTTTGGTCATCTTGGATAAAGCTTTTCTTTCTCACAGCAAGTGTTGATGACTTCGATTAGCTGCATTGCCCCTGGATTTTGATTACTAATATGTTTTCAGCACAGCTATACCTGAAACCAAGCCATTGACACGCATAGAGGTTTCACAGAGTTTAAAGGATCTTATGGGCTACACTTTGGAGGTCAAACCGTCTCAAATTCCACATGAGGATGCTGGGCAAGGTTTATTCTTACATGGTGAAGCTGATGTTGGTGCTGTGCTAGCATTCTATCCTGGTGTAATCTACTCCCCTGCATATTACCGCTATATTCCTGGATATCCAAGAGTTGATGCCCAAAATTCGTATTTGATCACACGGTATGATGGAACTGTGATAAATGCGCAGCCCTGGGGCGCCGGTGGTGAATCTCGGGAAATATGGAATGGTTCATCCCTTGCTGAACCTAAGCACAACATGCAAGTTGATGAAAAGGGTTCTGAGCGAATTTGGAGAATGCTCAGTAAACCATTGGATGGAACACGTCTAGGTGGCAACCATGAAGTTTTGGAAAGGAGAAACCCTCTAGCCTTTGCTCACTTTGCCAACCACCCAGCCAAGGACATGGTCCCCAATGTTATGATATGCCCTTATGACTTTCCCCTCCCAGAGAAACACATGAGGTCCTATATACCAAATATTTCGTTCGGAAATGGTGAAGAAGCAATGAAAAGGTTTGGCACATTTTGGTTCAAATGGAAGTCCGGCAAGAATGGATCGGATGTCCCTGTTCTAAAGACGCTTGTTCTTGTGGCAACTAGAGCAATTTGTAATGAAGAGATTCTCCTGAACTACAGATTGAGCAACTCAAAGCGAAGACCATCATGGTACACTCCAGTGGATGAGGAAGAAGATCGAAGGAGGTGGAGCTAAGATGACAATGATGAATGGTGCATGTTGAAGTGTACCAATCATGAAAGCAAATGCTTTTGTATACACGAAGCCGAGAAGGCAGTGAGGATATTTATTTTGGTGACTCCCGGTTCCCTTTTAGTTTTCCATCTTTTTGAAAGGTTTGCTTGTATAACCTGTTCAGAAAATATTCTGAGTTGGACAACATAGTTATTGTGCTTTGCACTAACGGTGAATACTTATTTTTACATGAGTTACAAAATAAACGTAAAAGGAATCCATCATTCTGATTGCTTATGAAAGTTACGCGCCTTCATTTTCTTGTTAAATGTTGGATGATTGCTCCTGCTTCTGTGATTATATATATATTTCTTAATGACTGGTAACTCACTGATCTACTCTACAGCCACAAAAAATTGATGGGAATGTTGATCTGGTGCAGACATCAAAACTTTGTTATACACAGAATTTCTTTGTTCGTTCTTCATCGCCTCCTATGAGTGGTCAAACATGGTCAGCTTCAATTACATTTTGAACATACATGGCGAGTCATAACCACTATAACAGTGAGCTCTTGTTTGATGAATGCTGATGCATGCTCGTACACGAGGATTCACTTCAATGCATAAATTGAGCCATATTTGTATTCAGGTATGGCACAAACTAAGGCACAAGGTGTAACATAAATTAGATGTTACTATTTATTAGCAACTAAAAGTTTGGGATTGCAACGTACTAGCAGTTGTATTAGCAACTAAGAAGATATAAGCTACAACAGGAAGCCAGCCCTCTGCAAGAATTACTGATCATGTCCTGCAAGCTGTGAACAATTAGCAGACTACTTAAATTTAGATGTTACTTTTTCCTTAGTTTTGTGTACTTAGTGTAGATAGACAAATGTTGTGTTGTTTGTCTATGTTTATTAGTTTTGTTTGAAAAGAAAGCTCAGGGAAGAAACTTGATTACAACTAAGCTAGAAGGTTAACAATATTTTGGCGTGGCCTACATCTTGCTAGCAATGGTATAGCCTTAGGCATAGTGAGTCCAGGTCCTCCAGTCATGTCAACCAGCTCTTCACTTGTTCTCTCCCATTCAAAACACTGAATAAGTGATCCCAATGCCAAACTAGCTACATGCATTGCCAAATTCTCGCCTGGACATCCTCTCCTGCCATATCCAAATGGCATTAGCCTGAACCCATCTCGTTGCCCTTTGATATCGATAAACCTTTCAGGCTTAAACTCATTTGGCTCTTCCCATGTCTTATTATCATTCTGTATTGCCCACATATTCACCAGCAACATTGTCCCACGGGGGACATGAAAACCTCCAACGGTACACTCATCCGAGGACTCATGTGGCACAAGAATCGGAACCACTGGGTACATTCGGAGAGTTTCGTTTATGATCCCATGGAGATAAGGGAGTTGAGAAAGGTCTGAGTCATCAAGTAATCTTGATGACTGTCCTATGCGAGTGTCTATTTCTTTTTGAGCTTTCTTTAGTGCCTCAGTATTGTTCAGAAGAAGTGATAATGCCCACTCCATTGTGCTAGCTGTAGTATCTGTCCCTGCTGATAACATGACTTGTCCCATGCCCCTTATCACTTCATCTGTGTAATAATCAGGTTCTGAATCTTGGAGTGATAGAAGAACATCAATCATGGTGTTTTTCTTTTGCTCACAAGAAGATCCCTTTCTGCTGTTCTTGTGCTCTTCAATCAAATCTTGCATGAAGTTATCCCTCTTCTCCTGCAGTAACTTCAACTTATCTTCAAGTTTGTTTGCTCCTATCCAGTTAAGAAGTGGCATAAAATCTCCTATATTTGTTGCACCGCTCAATTGGAAAGTTTCTGAAACAATCTCTTTGAAGCTCCTAGATTCCTCCATAGCAGAACGACCATAGTATCGTTTTCCAGCAATCATCATCATCAGAATGTTAAGTGTCATCTCAAAGAAAGCCGCTTTCATATCCACTATGTGAGAAGCTCCATCACTGGTTTTACCCCTAACGAGTCGTTGAAGCAGAGCTCGAACCTCACCTTTATAGATTTCAGCAAAAATTTGAATTCTCTGAGTGGATAAGATTTCATGAGTAGCAATCTGCCTTAGATTGCGCCAATTTTGGCCATAGGAGGCCCAAACAAGGCTGGTATAATTGTAACCAAGATGTTTTCCAGCTAGCAATCTTGGACGGTTGGCAAAGACGATATCATTTTTGGTGAAACATTCCTCTGCAAGAGAAGGGGAAGAGACAAGGAGGACAGGGCGCGATCCAAATCGGAGGAGAAGCAAAGGACCATGTTTTTCTGAAATTTTAGCTAATGTTTTAATGAGTGGTTTCTTGAAGAGATATAGATGGCCTATTATGGGCAAAGAAATAAAGGGACTTGGTGGGAGATTATGGAATTTTCTAAGGAAATGGTTCTTTAGCAAGTAAAGGAAAGTGAAGATGAGGATGTAGTATGAAATGTCCATGGTGATTCAGATACAATCAGAGAAAGACTTTGCAGTAATTATAAATAACAAGAATACTCAACTTTGCTTTTTGGATTTCCTTTTTGAATTAGGTTTTAGGCTAACTTAGTTTCTGGCTTGAGGCTTAGTCCTTTTCCAGGAATTGAATAAGGCCAAAGCTAGGCTGATATTTTATGGAGTGCAGCTCTGATGCAGGAAGGCTTTAGTATATACTATGTGTAGTTATCAGCATATTTGACATTTTCATCTGTGGACGGCTAGGTGCCACTTATACGTAACAATCGTATTTGATAATTTGTTGTTGAGTTTAATTTTTGTGCACAGACAATATATAACTTTTTTATACCAACAAGTCCATATAATAACTTTATAAATGACATGTTATAACAAGTTAAAATGCACTGCCGAAACTTTTCTAATATTTTTTTGGACAAAAAACACGTTTTTACTACTAAAAGAAAAAGTTACCTAAATACCTAATTCGCAGTACTATACTGCGAATTACTTTAACGGAAATTTAGCCATTAAAGTAATTCGCAGTAGAGTACTGCGTATTATTAACTTAAAAAAAAAATTCTTTAACTAATTTGCAGTACAATACTGCGAATTGAGTACACTTCAATTTTTGGGCCCAGCAAATTCGCAATATAGTACTGCGAATTGCCATGCAAAATTCGTACTGATATGCTAATTATGATTTTTATCTTTTTTTCTCCAACTTTACTTTACGCGTGACAGAACTCATCATAGGTGTCATCAAAAGCTCTACACTTTTGTGTATGTGTTTTGCTATTTTTAGTTATTAGTCCCAAGATATACACGGTCAGCCGACCCACACAAAGTTATGGGGTGAAACGAAGTTCCTAGGTCCTTGCTACTACAAATAAAGAATCAAGCGGAAAAAGAATGCATTTTAATTTCATTCCCTAATAAAGTAAATAAATTTTATATATTAAATTACTTATAGAGTAATTAGAATTGAAATATTCATCTGTCATTTAACATGCTATGTCATGTTAAATTACACTAATTATGTAAAATATCTATGCAAAAATAAACGTAGATTAAAAAAATATCAAAAAAAAGAATAATCCTAAAATAGTAAAATTGGCCAGAAGATGATCAGCTCCCAAGGTGAGCAAAGCTGCGAGGAGGAAAATTGGGATAAACGAAACAACACATGTCCCCATCAAATCGTGCATGGAATTTGCCCTAAATAAATGATATATCTTCTTTTATTCATCAGTTTCTAACGTTTGGGGGTTGGGTCACCTTTGTAAAATTTGCCAATTTTGCATGGCAATTCGCAGTATATAGTACTGCAAACTGCTGAGTCCAAAAATCCGAGTGTACTCAATTTGCAATATTGTACTGTGAATTAATTAAAAGAAAATTTTTTTAGTTAATAATTCGCAGTACTCTACAACGAATTACTTTAACGGTTAAATTTCCGTTAAAGTAATTCACAGTATAGTACTGCGAATTAGCTATTTAGGTAACTTTTTTTTAATAGTAAAAATATATTTTTTGTCCAAAAAAATATTAGAAAAGTTTCGGACTCGTGTATATATACACCCCATGTCCCCATCTTGATTATGCTTGTCTGCAGTGGTCCCGGAACAATTGTACTCCGTCAATTAAGATGCCTTTCTTGTCCTATGAATGAATGAAATTTTGGCCTTTACTCTTGTACTTCAACTTACTACGTATGTTATGGGCGTCATGTCCTATGTCACAATGCCCCAATTGCTTGTTTTCTAATTTCTGTTACAGTTTCTCATTACCAAATTGACATCTCAGAATCTTTTCATAACCAGAAGTTTTATTAAAGAAAATAATTTCTAAAATGGATTGCTGGTACTGGAATATCCAAATATATCAGCTAACAAGAAATACTTTTCTAGGGACTAGGAATTATTGTGTTTGACCCTATACTTTAATCGGTTTAGTAAAATAATCTTTACTAATAGTCTGCTGAGAAGAAGTGGTTTTCTCTATGTAACAACGACAATTCCTCGATATCTTTTCTTATTCATTCTCAAAAAACATATAGTATTATCTTTGTGCATCTTGGTTAACAGAGAGACCCCCTATTTTTACCTTGTATGTGCCCATACAGTGACAATACTTAAAAGCTCACTAATAAATATGCCTTAGAAAGAACAATCCATCCCCTAAGACACCATAAAAAAAACCAGGCCGAACTTGTAACCCGTTCGTTTCCACAAATGACAACCTGTATTTCAAATAACTGGTCATCTCTCTAGGGATCATTAATTTTGCTATGATTCTACAGTTTACTGTTTACAAACCTATGGAATTGCTAACAGTTCATAGATACTGATTACACATGTCCACCACTTTATTAAAATTTCCAGAAAACAAAAAAAACCTCCTCCTGTTTAAGGAATGATCAACTTTCTAACTTTGTGAATTGGCCTTCTGCACACTGGGCACACCCTACTACTTTCAACATCCATGATCCTGCAAGAAATTGCTCCTATGAGAATTTTCATTACTATATTCTATCTGTGAAAAGAATAATTTACCTCTGACCACATTCTTGGCAAGTTGCACAATGACCACAAGGAACAAAGAAGCAGTTTCTTGGATTGTCATAGCAAATAACACATATTCTCCCATCATATAAATCCTCTGAAGAGCAAGAGCTTGATTTTCCAGAATTTGACTCTTCTTCATATGTTCCATAAGTTGGTCCTAATTCCTTATGCTCGGTTATCGTTCTTGTTACTGGTGTTTCTTCTGCATATCTATCATCATCACAAGCTCCCAAAGATTTCAGTATATAGCAAATGATTATTACAGCTATTCCTGCCACACATTATTAGGTAAGGCCAACAGTTTAACTACTAGTCAAATTCTTGATCTCGCTAACTTTCAATATAACATAATGGTAATTATCTTGAGACTTTAGTTGCCTGAGAGGTTACCTAAAATACCAACATAAGTGACAAGACGGGCAATGTAAGATATTGCAACAGACATTCCAGACAGGTCTTGCTGCAGTAGACACATCGATCGTTAAGCTCTTAAATTTCACTAAACGATGTCTAGCGTTCTTGATGTTTTAAAGAAAAATTTGGACTTACAGTATCAGGTGTTGCAAGAACAAAGTATTGGGTGGAAGGGTATGACAGATCGAGGCGACAGGGTCCATTGTTTGTCGAACAAATACTCTTTGCTTTCTTTATGTTGTACATTGTTGATGAAATGTTCACATTCATGAGCAGTATGACACCTTTGGAGTTTTGATTTGTGATGCCAATGTTGTACCTGTCATCTTCCTCAATTATGTATGCAGCTTCTATACCTTAACCAACAAGGGTTTAATTAATTCAAGATTGTAGGCAAATTTATTACAATCAACTAGGGCAGTCCGGTGCACTAAGTTCCCGCTATGCGCGGGGTCCGGGGAAGGGCCGGACCACAAGGGTCTATTACAATCAAGTAGAAACAAAAGAAACCAAGCGAAATTAACTTCTTAAGCTCCCTACCAAGTCAAACACCATCACATAATATGAAAACAAGATAGTACATAGTTACAAAAAGCATATAGTAGTGCAACTTTAAACTGTTACCAACTTACCATATGTTGTTCCATTTGAAACATCAAATCTAGCAGAGTTTGTTGACAGCACTTTTTCATGCTTTCGCTCCCCTGTTGAAGACAAAAATAACATACTTATTGGCATATCCAGTTTTCGACTTCATAACGTATACCAAACTCTTGGTACCTTTCATTAAAGACACTTCAAGTTGACTCAAAATACTGCTTTGTGCTTGCCATTTTATTCTGATTCTTGAACCTTTATTCAGCCACAGAGAAAACCCCTGTATTCAAATCAGTGACTTTTAAGCATATACCCTTTAAATGGATGATGGCAAAGCACAGGATTTGTTCATGCAAACCTTGCGACTGTATGATCCAACAACCACGAATCTCGACGAGCTCCATTTGGCTTCTACACTTAATTCAGGCTTCTCTGAGAACCCATAAATGGAAACTCCTGTCTTGTCATCATCTCTTACCTCAACTTGCTTCACAAACAGAGAACTCACCCTAAGCAATCGCGATGAGTTAGGTCCAAGAACCATGTGACAATCGCCATAAAGCCCGTATCTTATGCTTAGCAACACTGAATAGAAAAAAGAAAGGAAAAAAAAACAAAATGTGTGTGCATTAGAAAGGAATTCACTGAAGAGACAAAAGCATAAAAATTGGATATTACATGCCACAAATACATATAGGTAGCAGGGCGAGTAAACGAGTCAATTTCTCTTGCCACATCCAACAATAATAGCAATAACGATAATGCTAATGATGCATGAGAAGAGGGTAATCCCCTCTGTGAAAAATGAAATTTGAAGCTGCAAGAGGTGGCATGGAAGACTATTCATAAGGGAATCATCAAATGCTGATAACTCCATATTATAGGAGGAAAAAAGAATGGCTAGTTAGTAGAAATTCATCTTTCCTTTTTTGTGCAACTAACTGTTCTATGTAAGAAAGGTGGGTATTATGAATGTTAGGTATTAGTAGTTCTATCAGAATTCTAGTTGAGAACTGTACTTTACATTCAATATTAAAATGGACAAGTACTTCTTTTTCTTTACTAATTATCATTTTCAGAAGTCCCATTATCACTTTTCTATTTCAAAGGAATTTGAGTGAATTCAAGTTTGCCAAATATAAGCTAATGAAAAAAGTAAAAGGTTTAAAATTTAGAGGATAGACAAGATTTTGGCACAAATTGCTTTTTGCTCCAGTCTATGAGCTTAACAAAGAAAAAAGAAAAAAGGACTTTAGACACATAAACTAAATGTAAATGACTTACCAAAAGCACCCTTTTAGAATCTTTTGATTTTAGATGTCATGTTATTTCTATAGAGCATATCATGAGGGGTAAAATCAAAATATCAAAATTAAAGAGTTTACAACTATAGTATGTGTATTTATATGCATATTACCTCGTATTTTACTCATATTTCGTGGATTTTGTATGTGTAATGTAATGATTTATTCTAATTCGTGGTGTTTTTATGTGAAGGAGTCAAATGGAAGTGATTTGAAAAATTTGCGTGCAAATTAAAGTAAAAATGGAAGAATTTAGAGGAAGTACGAGTTTGGTGCCAAGATTCGCGCCAGACACCAACCAAAACGCCAAGGGCGGCAGAGCACAAAAGTGAAAAAGGTTTGGTCCCCAAGTTCGTGCCAGGCACCAACCAAAATGCCGTTGACAAAAGGCTAAGAAGTTAAGTGTCCAGCTTGGCGCAAAGCGTGGCGCCCAAGGGCGGATTTTGTCCTAATTCGGTTGGTACTTGGAGATTTCAACCCTACACATCCCCAACAGGTATAAAAGGGGTTCTAAACCTTTTTTTTTGGGGGGGAGGGGGGGGGGTAGGGGGGGGGGACATTGTTTGGAGGCGAGAACAATACACGGAACATTCGGGAGCAAGGATTCTCAGTTTTTCTTCATCTTTCTTAGTATTTTCAATTATTCAAACACTTGTGAATTGTTTAACTTTATCACAAGTGGCTAAAACCCATAAGTTTTGGGATTGTGATTTAGCCATGAATATTATTGTTCGAAGTTGACTTTAACTTGATTATATATATGGTTGTTTCTTCAATTATGTGATTAATTATTTAATTGTCTGGCCACCATTTAGGTTCTAATTACTATCTATGCTATGCTTGGGAAAGCTACATCTAGATTAGAGAAGAATTAAAGAGGGCATGATCTTCTCTGAGTGGGGGGTGAATTTGTGGTTAGGATAGGAATATACCTAGTCACCATGCTCAATTGAATATCGTAATCTTAATGCGTTCATAATAGATTGATTCCATAGGAATATAGTTTGAATAGGCGAGTAGTAATTTAGGAGAATTCTACGAGAGCAATTATTCGATTAATTAGCAACCATGAGTAAATTCTATGAAAGAGAGAGTTAACAAGAATGCAATAGGATTGGTGAATCGATCACTACCTTGGAATATTCATCTATACTGAATGCACAACAATTATTTTGCTGCTTGATTAATTAGTTACTTGTTAGAATTATTACTTAGTACAATCGCACTTTTGAACTCTGATTGACTCGACTGAATAATAATCTCGGTAAAACTAGTGGTTAGTTAACAAGTCTCTATGGGTTTGATACTCAATTTATCACTTTATTACTTGTACGACCATGTATACTTACGTGTGCGTTTGGGAGCAACAAGTTTTTGGCATCGTTGCAGGGGACTTGAATATTGACTACTTTACTAGCTTTTACTTTAGTTGTTTATTTCGTCAAGTCTAACGTTCTTATTGGTTGCTCTGCTCTCAGGAACTTTGATTGAATCTGAAGGGTTAGGAGCCAGGATAGACTTCAAGGCTTTGACCCCGAACTTGAGAGAATATTTCACAGAAGGTTGAGAGAAGCAAGGGACACAGATAATCTTCAGGCACTGGTTCAGCTACCTATGAATATGGCAGAAGAGCAACATATGATTATTCAGGAGATGGCAATGCCCAGCATTGCTAATGTCATTTCCAGCATTGTGAAGCCCAGAATCACTGGGCATTTTGAGCTAAAACAGAGCATGATCCAGTTACTACATGCAAATGGGCAGTTTTTGGGTCTTCCACACGAGTATCCACAACAATACATCCTGAACTTCTTGGAAATTAGTGATACTTATATCACTAACAAAGTCACTCCAAACTATGTGAGGCTCACATTGTTCCCTTTTTCTCTGTTGGGCGAAGCAAAGCGGTGGTTGAAGGCAGAACCAACTAATTCTATTACATCATGGAATGATCTGGCTAGGAAATTTTTGGCATGGTTCTTCCCTTCAGGCAAAACTGCAAAGATCAGAAGTAAGATAGTAGCCTTCAAACAGAAGTCGGGCGAGTCTTTATATTCAGCTTGGGAGAGGTTCAAGGGGCTGCTCAGAGATTGTCCTCATCACAACCAGACAAATGAAGTGCTGGCTCATACCTTCATAGAAGGGCTACATCTAGAGACAAAAGTTGTGGTAGACGCTACAGCGAGAGGTCAGGTGTTGGACAAAAGCTTTGATAAAATTTATGCATTACTAAATACATTCTCCAAAAGTAATCCTGATTGGCAAGGAGAGATGGGCAGACACATAGCTCAGAAGTCTGCAGGGGTCCTCGAGTTAGACGTTGTTTCGGCACTATCATCGCAGGTTGCCACATTGGCCAACCAAGTCAATAAGATGACCTTGGTTATTAATAAGCAACAAGCTCAGCCAGTGCAACAGGTTCAGATATTTTTTGAAGTCTGTGGAGAAGGTTACATGAGAAATCTATGCCCAGCAAATCCAGAGTCTGTATATTTTGTGGGTAATGCAAATCAAGCGAAGGCAAATCAGTATGGGGACGCTTACAATCCTAACTGGAGGAACCACCCAAACTTTTCTTGGGGTGGAAATCAAGCTGCTCAGAATCAGTACAGGCCACAAGCTCCTCAACAACAATATATACTACCACAGGTTGTACAACCCACGAACTCAACGAGTCATATAGAGGAGATGTTAAAGAAGTTGATGGCTGACCAGCAGGTCCAGGCAGCAGCTATGAGAAATTTGGAGCGACAAATAGGGCAACTTGCTAGTGCCCAAAATACTTGACCAACTAGAGCTCTTCCTAGTGATACTAAGCCTAATCCTACGGCTCAAGTCAATGCGGTTACCCTGAGAAATGGAAGAGTATTAGAAAAAGTTCGAAAGAAAAAGAAGTATATGGCTAGTCTTGAAGGAGAATTAGTTCCCAAGCAAGTTGAGGAGAATGAGAAAGAGAGCGAAAGAACTAATGAGAAAGAGAGTGAAAGATCAGAGCCAGTAATTGTGACAAGGCCACCACCTCCGTTTTCACAAAGATTGCAGAAGCAAAAAGATGATGCTAGGTAAAGGAAATTCTTAGATATTTTGAGCCAAGTGCGTGTAAATTTGCCTTTGGTGGAAATTTTGCAGGATGTGCCTAAGTATGCAAAGTATCTCAGAGATATTGTGGCAAACAAGTGATGACATATAGAGTTTGAAACAGTTGCACTTACTGAAGAGTGCAGTGCTAGAGTTCAGAGTAAACTTCCTCCTAAGTTGAAGGATCCTAGGAGTTTTACAATTTCTCTGTCTCTTGGGGAACAAGAAGTTGGTAGAGCCATGTGTGATTTAGGGGCTAGTATAAATTTGATGACATAATCTTTGTTCAAGCAACTCGGATTGGGGGTCCTTAGACCTACTACAATCACTTTACAATTGGTAGATAGGTCACTAGTGATGCCAGAATGAATAATTGAGGATGTGTTAGTTCGAGTGGGAAAGTTTATTCTCCTACTGATTTTATTGTTCTTGATTACGAGGCAGATGAGGAGGTGCCATTATTTTGGAGCGACCGTTCTTAGCTACTGGTGGAGCAATTATTGATGTGAGGGAAGGGAAGTTGAAGATGAGAGTTCTTGATGAGGAAATCATTTTTAATGTGTACAAGGCACTTAAGCTCCCTAAGCATTATGAGGACTTGTGCATGATTACCGTGGTAGAATCGAAGGGGATAGACCAGAGTCCTTATAGGAATTGTAGTGATCCAGATGGGACAATTTAGTTAGAGGAGGTGGTGTTGCAAGTTGAGTGTATAAAGATGATTGAGAAAAGAGCCAGAGATGAAATAAGAGTCCTTCCTAGAATATGCAAAAAGGCTAGACTTCATGGGAGAGATAATAAGCGAAAGCGCCCAGCCTGAGCAGAGTAGCAGAGTCCTGCCACGACTATAAATATGGCGCTTGTTGGGAGCAGCCCAGCTTATATTTTATTTTTTCTAATTATTTTTATAATGTCAAGTTGTGTGTTGTTTTTATTTTGCAGAGTAGGGGAAGTTTGAGTACACGAAGTTGAAGATGAGGAGCATGTTTGAGCTTAAGTCTGGGGTCGTCCCGGCCCTTAATATTGAGAATCATGCGCTAGCTAGGCCCTAGAGGGTCTCAGGGAGTATTTCTCACCCTTGTTTTAATATTTTTATCTATGATCATGCATCGAGGACTATGCATAATATAAGTGTAGGGGTGGGGGAACTACTTTATGTAATGTAATTGTATAAAACTATTATTTATTAGTTTTTCCTTTGGGAACCCGTAGTAGACATAGTCTAGTTCTTCAACAACAAAAAAAAGAAAAAAGAAAAAAAATCAGAAAAAGCTCGGACTTTTCCCGACGATGGATCTTTTGGACAGTTTTCTTGAGGAATTAAAGTCCGATTAAAAACACCAAAAAGATTTTTTTTTTTGGATAGTTAGGTAGTATCCCTTGGGTTTTCTTTGGGCGTCGGTTCTTTTCCAAGGGTGTAGTTTGAATCGGGTATTTTGGTTTAATTTTTAGGAGTAGGATAGGAAGAAAACTGAGTTGCTATGAGGTACCTGTTGACATGTTTGGTGCTGGCACATTAGGCTATGGCATGCACTCTGTCTTCCTGTTATATTTGATTTGAATTGTGATGCCTAAGTAATATAAATAGCCTACTCTGTGACGCCTTTTCTTAGTTGTTTGACTTTCATGTCACCTAGTGCATTATTGCTTAAAATTTGTTAATCGTATGTGCTTGCTTGACTTGAGAGTTGAACAGAACAGTCCCGATTGAGTCATGTGCAACGTGTGTGCGAGGATTCGTGATATTCTGTGCTATCCTGTGGAGTCTAGAACTTGCCATGTGTGTTAATCTAAGCGAAAATATTAAGTTGTGCTAGTCTATGAGATGGCGTAGGCAGTTCTTTGCTTTATCATAAATGTGCTTGTCACTTACAAATAAAATTTTCCCGTTGTTAGTCCCTTTGCGCCTATGGACCTTTTTCTTCGCACCCACATTACAAACCGTATCCATATTTTGTTCTTAACTTAAGCTTGTTGAATATTTACCTCCGAAGGCACTTAGTCGCTAAAAGAAGCAAGGTAAGAGATGGAGAAGTATCTTTTGAATGGAACCATGGAAGGGCCCATAAGGTGCACTAATGTTGTGAAAAATACCACTACCCGATGAACCTTAATGTATGGAGTGTGTGTAAAAAAAAGAGAAAAGAAAATTGCAATGAAAAATATAAATAATGTTGATAGTCAAAAGAAAAAAAAAACGCACACCTCCTAATCTTACTAATTCGTGCTAGTGGGGATGTAGAAGTATTTAATTAAAAAAAAGGGTTATGTTGTGTATGGTTTGTGGTGACTGAATTGATTGAAAAGAATGTATGCTTGATTCTTTAGTGTAGTGTACTAAAGTGCTTAGGAGAGTTAATCACTATTCCTAAATGTATCTTACCCGTCCCTTAGCCTACATTACAACTCATAAAATCCTAATTGATCCTAGACTTGGCTAGCTTATATTAGTAGAGATGTACTCTACAGGCGAGCTTATGGTATGATCACAGGATACACATGAATTTCTTTGTGAGAGTGAGCGAATTTTGCAACACTATGTGATGTCCTTAATTTATGTTCAAAGTCATACTTGAATGTGTGGACTACATTTATATTCACTCTCTTGTTAGTTTGTGAGGGCACATGATCTCATGACAGATTGGTAATATTGTTAACTTCTCTTGATTGGTGAGTGCGCGAGTTGAGGGTGCTTAGTGGTAATGAGTCGGCTCTTGAGGTAGGGTGGTTATGGGTAGGTTGTTGGAATTGGTTGACTTAAGAAACTTATACTTGGGCATGTTTAAAATGGGAAGAATGTGAATTTCATATGCTCATGCTTGATTGTCGGTATCGACCATAGCCAAGGGTAGAGTATATGATTAAAATTTGAATTTCTCCTCCATAGTTGATGTGTAAGTTGATGGGGTGTAGTTGAGAAATCCATTGCTCGAGGGCGAGCAAGATTTTAAGTGTGGGATGTTGATATTCGGCATAAAGTATGTGTTATGTCGTGGTTTTTGTATGTGTAATGTAATGATTTATTCTAATTCGTGGTATTTTTATGTGTAGGAGTCAAATGAAAGTGATTTGAAAAATTTACGTGCAAATTAAAGTAAAACGAAAGAATTTGGAGGAAGTACAAGTTTGTTGCCCAGGTTCGCGCCAGGTACCAACCAAAATGCCAAGGGCAGCAGAGCAAAAAAGTGGAAAAAGTTTGGTGTCCAGGTTTGCGCCGGGCACTAACCAAAACACTGTCACGACCCAATTCCCAACCCGGCCGTGATGGCGCCTCTCGTGAAGACAAGGCCAGCCAGAACAAACTCAAACACCTCTTTTAAAGCAGTTAATTAATTTTAACAAGTCTAGAACATGCTTAACATAGTCAATAATGCGGAATCAGCGATGATAACAAGGGAAACCATCCCGACACAGCCCAAACCGGGGTGTCAGAAGTCATGAGCATCTATAAGAACGTAATTACATTTACAAGTCTAGAAATACACTGAACAGGAATAATGAATAACATAGAAAGAAAACGGTGCTGCGAACGCCGGCAGTCACCTCGCTAAACTACTACAGTTCTGCCTCCAAACAGCCAATACCCGCTACCGGGTGAATAAATACCTGCAACTGCACACGATGTGCAGGGAGTAAAGTGAGTACTCCAACTCAGTGAGTAATACAGGTAAATAACAACTGAGCAGTAAGAATTCACGTAAAGCAACCAACATGCTGTATAGAAACAGGGTACAATCCTTTGAGAAAAACAGTGAATCTGTGAAATCTTTAGAAATATATTGGCTCAGTTTAAATCTCTTTCGAAAATGATCTTTTCAACAGCTACGAAACGGTTTCAAAATAGTTAGTGCAGATAAGCACAGAAAAATCCGCCCCTCGGGCACAAATACCACAGTATCACAGGTAAAAAAAGGCAAATAAATATACACGATGCGCACATAAAAGTTCGCCCCTCGGGCAACATCTCAAAACAGTACCAGCCCCTCGGGCTCACTCTCAGAAACACTCTCAGAATAGTATCATATAGTAACCGCTGCGGCGTGCAGCCCGATCCACATCTCGCTGCGGCGTGCAGCCCGCTCCATTTATTTATCGTCGACGGCACTCACTGGGGTGTGCAGACTCCGGGAGGGGCCCCCTACGGCCCAAGCGCAATATCAACATAAGGCCTGAAAGCCTTCACACATCACACTCGAGGCCTGAAAGCCCCCTCACATATCACTCGAGGCCTGAAAGCCTCCTCACAATACACTCGAGGCCTAAAAGCCTCCTCACATCACTCAACATATCCTCACATATGGCCCTCGGCCTCACTCAGTCCAGAAAACATCATAAGCCCCTCGGGCATCAATAAAAATAGTAGTGCTCCAGCCCAAATAATAGTGGAAAATATCATTTAAGTCTCAAAGTTCAATTAATACGGCTGAGTTTGTAAATCAGTATAATTAAAGTGAGGAAACAGTGATAAAATCCCCGAAGGGTTCAAATAATTGGCACGAAGCCCAAATATGGCAATCAGCCCAGATCATGATAATATCAAATAAGTTTCAGTCAAATACGCGGTAAAATCAACAACCGGGACGGACCAAGTCACAATCCCCAACGGTGTTCTACCCCACGCTCGCTATCCGGCGTGCAAGTCACCTCACTATAGCACTACGGTGTGCAAATCCGGCGTTTCAAACCCTCAGGATATCATTTACAATCAT